CTTCAAAAAACAGAAAAACAAAAAACAGACAAAACAAAAAACAGAAAAAAAAAAACAGAAAAAAAAAAAAACTTCAAAGAAGTGCATGTACTATGAGTAATCAATTGAAATCAGTCAATATGAAGCAGAGTGGAGAAAAAAAAACACAAGCACAAAGAAGCAAAAAAGGATGTGCCAGATTCTCTTGTAGAAGATCCCTGAGGAAAGGCTTTTCTCTTTTTTTTTACCTTCTTTTTTCCTTTTTGGGGGAGGGATTTCTGTGGTTCAACTAAACATAAAACGCGAAACAAGCCAAAACTGTACATGCAAGTTGATCCAACACTGCAAATAATATTAGATACAATGGAACCCAACTCGCAAAAACTAGTACATCCACCGCAACCCCAAAGCAAACAAAAACACTGATGAAATGTTTCCAACCAGACCTGCCCAGGCACGAAGATAATGATTACAAAATACACACGCCAGACACACCAGGACGGAAATTGCAAAATAGTACATCGACCGTACATCAAACGCAACGAAAACACCGACGAAAGATTTCCAGGCAGGTCTGGGATGGCGACGACTCTCACCCCAAGTTTGGTGGCGCGGACAAAGCTGGCAAGAGCTAACTCTGGCTCGCCATAGTTACGCTGCGCACGTGCGAGTGTCAGATGTGCCTGACAACCAAAAGGTCAGTGCCAAAAAAAACAGCGTTACGCCTTTTCCTTCCTCTGAATAGCGTTGGGCGGAAGCAGAAGGAGGGCATCGCGGGATAGAAGTTGCTTGCAGACACACCGGCACACACTGCTACACACTGGAAACTTGCTGTTAATCCAAAGAAAGAAAGAAGGAAGGAAAGAGACAAAAGAACCCAAGAGCCTATGGTAGCTCAGTGGGTACACACCCATGGACTGTTGAAATGCAGACAGACCCGAGTTCGAATCCAGATGATGATGGAACATTGGAATTCGATGAGTAAAACCAAATAGTATTTCTGAACTGCCTGTGGGGCCGGTCAGCTCAATGATGATACCTCAAGGACGTCGCCCTTTTTAAAAAGGAAAGGAGAGAAGAAGAGAGGGGGAGGGGTGAAAAGAAAGAAAGAAAGAATCAAAGTGCCAACTCACTTCATCAATCTGAGAAAGAAAAAAAAAAACGAATAGAACAGCCAAAGAAAGAAAGAAAAAAAGAGGAAAAAAAAAACATGAACAGCATTGCCAAGAGTCAACTCTCCACACTCAACTACTCAACTTCAGAAGAAGAAAAAAACATCAAACAAACCAATGTTAGCTGACTTCACTGAAAGAGAAAGGGAAGCCAAGATGCAAAATCCTGTGCTTTTAGCAGCAGTGCTGCACAACCAGATCGTAACAGTTTTATACTATCTGAAAAGATTCAGCCAGCACTCTCTCTCTCTCTCTCTCTCTCTCTCTCTCTCTCTCTCTCTCTCTCTCTCTCTCTCTCTCTCTCTCTCTCTCTCTCTCTCTCTCTCT